TAATGATAGATCTTTTAAAATTTATTTTTCTATCAATTCTTGCAAGGCTTTTGGCAGATTCACTTTCCTGGTATTTACTGATCCAAGTCTAGTTTTGAAAGAAAATGAGAGTTAAGAAAATACCTCATTTCAGTTTCAGTTTCAACTGTTTATCTTAAGCCTCTGATTATGACATCAGGCCCCAAACAAAGCAAAACAAAAAATAGTCTGCCCTGACAGGCTTGTTAGGACAGATGGGGTTGGTGGGGAGAGCTTTCTGAGAAACTACTATGCTTAGAAGAAATTTCCTAAAAAGTGAGCAGAAAGAAGAACTTTAGTAGGCTGGAAATTCCCTCAGCTGGGATAGGGTACTCTGGTAAATATGGGAGAGGAGGACAAAGGAGAACTTGATAGTTTTGACTTTGAGCTCTCAAAACATTCCCTTAGCTGCTCAGTATCTAGTAATGTTGGTTTATATTTTGAATTACCATGTATCTCAACCTGCACAACTTGAGCAGAGAGCACAGACACAGTGTGTGTGTGTGAAAGTGAATAGCTAGATCTTTATAATCATCATACTTGGAAGGGCTGAGAATAGTTTCTGTTCAGATACATTTTAGACCATGCAAAGTTTTAACCTTCCTCACACTTGATGGGATGAAGGAGATGGTCTAGGCATGTAGTATGTAGTTCTATCGTTCACTTGTTCTCTGATCTTGGACAAATTAGATCTGTGTGCGTTTCAGGGTATTTTTGTTTTGTTTTGAATCTTCAAGTGAACATTTTAATACTAATCCATCTACCTTTCAGGTTATTTTAAAGATGATAGTAGATTAAGGTTTTTTTTTTTTAAAAAAAAGTTTAACGAATTTTTCACTGGCCAGAATTTCAGAAATATAGCCATCTCTCTGGCAATGAAAAGCATTCTTTTTGGATGATGCCATTTTTCTTGCTCAGTCGGCCTGACCAGTATCAACAGGAGTATGTACCAGATTTGAAAGGAAACAGAGGATACTTGTACTTGTGATTTTGAAACGATTTTAAAGATTTTACTTAGAGGCCTAGGCAGGATTAAAGGAATCAATAAGGGGATGTCAAAAATGTTCAATAGAAAGCTGTTTTTGTATCTCAAAGGCAAAGTAGAGAAGCCCATTGCATATTAACACAGATAGCATACTTTTATGAAAAATAGCTATATTTTTCAACAAAAAAGTTTGAAAAGCCACTTTGTTTTAGTTTTGCAAATACAGTGTATTATTCATTTCTTTTTTCACCATTACTACCTTAGGTTAGCCCTTATTTTTTTACTGTGGTAATATACTCCTAACATAAAATTTCCTTTTTAGCCCTTTAAAAGTATACTACTAGTGGAATTAAGTACATTGTCAGTGTTGTGTAACTATCACCATAATCTAGTGCCAGGACTTTTTTTTATCACCTCAAACAGAAACCTGTGTCTATTTAGCAGTCATTACCCATTAAACCCTCCCCAGAGCCCCTGCCAGCCCCTGATCTACTGCCTAATTTTTAAAGATTTTCCTATTCTAGATATTTAATGTAAAATGGTATCATATAATATATGATCTTGTTAGGAGCTTAGCTCAGTGGTAGATAGAACGCTTGCTGACTTGCGCGAAGCCCTGTTTGATTCCCAGAACTGCAAAAACAAACTATGGTTTTTCGTGTCTGGTTTCTTTCACTCAGCATAATGCTTTTAAGATTCATCCATATTGTAGGACTTATCAGAACTTCATTTCTTTTTATCACTGAAAAATATTCCATTGTGTGTATATTTCACATTTTGGTTTTCCATTCATCTGTTGATGGCTATTTGGGTTGATTCTATCTTTTGGCTGTTGCTTAGTGCTGCTATGAACATGAGTGTACAAGTGTTTGTTTTTTTTTAAACCTTTAGATATATGCAAAGGAGTGGAATTGCTGGTTCATGTAGCAGTTCAGTTTAATTCACTGCATAATGTCCTTATTACTTTTCATGTGTTTCTCCCAACATATGGGACAATACCAGGTGGCTCATTGATAATGACATTTGATAGCAATTAATTACTTTCTTTAACTTCAGTCCCTTTGATTAAATCAGTGTGGTATTAGCATGGCTTTCAAACACTTTGCTAACTGTTTTCATCTCCTTTTTAATAAATACAGGCTTAAGTTCAGAACCTTTGACATACAAAGCTATCTAGTTAGAATTTGGTATTTTTTTCTATACTTTGTGTTATCATTTTATTTCTATAGCATTAATATTGATTTCACATGGATAGCAGTGAAATTTTGCTTTTCCTGTAAATGTAAATGAAATAAAGAGGTACACAATTTGCAAAAATATTATGAAGATTGAACAGAGACATATTAAAGAATCTTAAAGATGGTATGAGAAAAACTTGAAATTTGGAAATAAAGACCTGAGCAATTGCAACATATTCCCAACTCATTTTCCCTTCCTCATTTGTTCCTACTTCAATCAGCCCTTTTTGTCATTCCTAGAATAATTTAGAATAACTTGGAATTAGGGTCATTCTCTCATTGGTGAATATTTAATGAATCCCCATTTTGTGCAGAATAAAAGGGAAATGTTGTTTAGCTAGACATGATACTCCTTATCCTTCACTCCAACCAAATGAATCTAGTTACTATTCCAGAAAATCACCTTGTACTTTCTTACCACTGTGTATTCCTTCATACCATTCTGGGCTGTAAGTTCCTTTTCCCTTAGTTTCTATTACCATTCAATAGGGTCTGATATGTGCTAGGCATTGTACTGTGGAGTAGAAGAACTACAGTGGCTTTCATATTGAACTTGCCCTTGTGGGAAGAACAGATACTAAACAGAGAAATAATTATTTTGTTACAATTGCAATAAATAATGTGACGAAAAGTAAAGAATGTTATGAAAACAAATAAATAGAACACCTAATCTAGTTGGGATTGAAGAGGTGGTTTCTTAGGCTTCTTGGAGAAAATGTCATTTAGGCTGAGATTTAAGTGAAAAGTGGGCAGAGAGAATAATGTTTTCAAAGGTACTGAGATGAGAGGAACCTTGCCTGGACTGTTATTTATTCATATATTTATTTTTCTATGAAGAAGTATAGGTATGTGCTATCTTCTCAATAATAATTCACTGGCCTATGATATATAGTCTTTTTTTTTTTAAGTTAGCACACTTAGCAAGCAAGGAGGCAGGCCTGCAATTCCAGCTACATGGGAGGTTGAGGCAGAAGGATTGTGAGTTTGAGGTCAGCCTGGACAACTTAGGGAAATGATGTATCAAAAAATAAATAAAAAGGACATGAGGTATAACACTGGTAGAGCACTTGCCTAATGTGCAAAAATATGGATTCAATTCCAGAACCTCAGAAACAAAAACAGAATGAGTCATGCAGCCTTAACTTAGTAAAATTAAAACTTTTAACGATATTTTTTAAAAACCACTGTACATAGACAAAGATTAGATTCTGATCTGAAAACTTTCCAAGGAATTTATATAGAAGTTCCATTTCTAGGTAGAAATTATTTAATATAAACATATTGCATAACTATATAGAGATATATTTAATTGTGATTCTATAACAAACATTTCATTTTTCAGATGTGGAGATTACTATAAAGAAGGCTTTATCAGTCAAGGATTTTGGCTAGATTAAGGAGAAAAGGAATTTAATTGGTTGTTGAAGAAACCACAGAAAGATTGGAGAATCAGGCTTGGAAAATGAACCAACGACCTAAGTAAGGGAGCTAGGTGGCAGGAAGGACTAGTCAAAGTCATGCTAGAGGGAGACACTACCATATGACTTTTGCTACTGCTGCTGCTTTTAATGATTTTCTTACTGGTAATATTTTTTGTGGGGCTAGCTGGAGTTTAAAGTATACAAGCTTGGTTGAGTCTTTGTTCTGGCTGAAGGGGAGATCTCTTCCCTTTGGCTTCTTCCTTTTAGCCTCTCACCAGTACTCACCTAATAAGGAATCTGCCCCAAGTGAGTAGTGGGTTTTGGTCTAGGAAAACCCACACTCGAAGTAAAATCAAATAGCCTCCCTTTACAGATACCCATTAGAATGTATTTCTAAACAATTCTTCATGATGATAAATAGCTGTGTGCTACTGAAATATAAGGTAAAACTGCTAAAGATATCTCAAGTGTTCTGGAAAGTATATGATTTTTTCAGTTTTAAAAAGAGTTGTGGTACCTTATTAGAGAAAGATGACTTTGTTTCTTTTCAGAGAAAAGCAATTTTAGGTATCCCTAAATTTTATAGTATAAGCATGACTAAAGAAATGAATGTATATTTTTCTAAGAAATAAAGTCACAGAAAGTAAAGATGATTGCCAGATATGCATATATTTATTTATTTTTCAGCATTTTACTTTGGTGGGCAAAAACATTTTATATCTAAAATATGTCCCAAGATTTTGCTGTTCTTTATAACTAATTTAAAACCCAAGTGTACACTAAACACACATATTCTCTTTGCTTTAAAACATCTCTGAAAAAAAGTTGAAAAAAAAATCAAAGACCAATGCTGCTAATAATTATATTTGTGTGCTAGCCAGTTTCCTGTAGCTCATAATTTTATTTATGGTACATTTCTTGAAATACATAATACATAAGAAGTTTTTCCCTAGATACTTATGTGTTACATGGGGAAAGAATGTGTAAGTTGTATGAAAAATTATTTCAGGAATGTTTTATTACACACATGGATGCTTTTGATTCAGGGGTTTGTCTCCAGTAATTAATGTCTCAATTATAACCAGAGTTAGTAATATGAAATATAGCTCAAGTACATACAGCTGCCTTTTAGAAATAGAATTGTTTTTACAATCACAGCAAAATAGTCACAAGAATCAAATTTCTCAAATGTTCTCTAACCTGACATACATGAATGTGTATTGCAACAGGCAAGAGGAAGTCAGTTTTCTATTGCGGAATTCATATGTCAGTAGCCAAAATAAAACTTGTTCTAGATTTTCAAATCCTCTTTTCCAGAACTTCATTTGTTTCGATATTTTAAAAAATTCTTTCTTTCAACTTGCTGTAATGAGAAAATGAGAGCTTTATTTACTAGACTATTCTCATTTCCTTGGGAATACATAAAAAACATACATCAGGAAAGGGATGCTATCATAACCAAGGCCCCTTTTAATAGAATATTTCACATGAAATTATAGCAGAATCTTTCTGCTTTCTTTTCTCAGAAGCTCTTTCCTGAATAAAATAGATTCTAACATGGGAGTAACAAGAAATTTACCTTGATTATAAAGCTTGCTTGCTTTGATCTGGGATTCAGACATCGTTGTCCTTTATGTGCTTTCAAGGTAATACTGTTAAGGGAAGATAAAAGTGAGTCTTAAACTTCACATGGGAAAATAAATAAAACAAAAAAGCTCCACCATTGTCATCTTCAGAAAGTGCATTACTTACATCACTTCAGTTTTGTTACAGCTGTTACTTGGGTAGATGACAGAGGCTTTCTCAATTTCTGTAAATTTCACTGCTTTTACTCCGGGGCCTATACAAAGACAACGTCCCCCTTTGAACATAGGAAAGCCTAGGACAGATCAGAATATTGATTAGTAATACATCTGATTGCAACATATAGTTATTATCCTGGAGGTGAATGTGAGAAGAGTTTTCATAAAAGATAAAGATTGTAGTTTGTAGTAATCTGTCAAATAGCCCTTGATACCTATGTTATTGGTAAAGGAGTTAAGTAAGATGTTGATGATTTTCTTTTGAAATTTGTAAAAAAGTCATTAAAAATAATAGGACAGGGCTGGGGATATAGCTCAGTTTGTAGAGTGCTTGCCTCACATGCACAAGGCCCTACCTTCAATCCCCAGCACCAAAAAAGAAGTAGTAGTAGTAATAATTATTATAGGAATATGAAAGACTTTTATTAAAGGAAGCTTGTTTGTCTGTTGCTTTTATACTTAAGAATTTTTCCAAGAAGTTAACATAATACCACTTAAAGTCTTCTTTACAAACATTTAAAGCTATTTGTCAAGCATCTTGTCAGATATTGTAGCCAAAAAAAAAAAAAAAATCCCATGAAGTTTATCATCTCTAGATTTAAGAGTCATCTCTAATGCCTTAAACATTTCCAACATTTTCTGTCAAAGCTATTAAGTAACTTCTAATATATGAGATTCAGTAAAAATTTACCATGTATTTTAGGATAAAAGTGAAAGAAAAGACATTGAAACATTACAAAAGGAGTTTATAGACTGAAGCAAAAAGTATCATATACCTTCAGTAATCCTAGCACAGACTATCACAGCCAAGACGATAACCATGCCCTTCACATTCATTCTGTTTCTTTATTGCTGCTGCTGTTCGGCTTCACCTTTGGAACTCTTGGAGGGATTAGAAACACTAAACCTAAAAGGTAGTTCTTAATTGGTATATAAAGAGCATTTTATCCACCAGCCATCCTATTAGAGCAACTGGAATTTCCCTCCTTGAGTCATCTTCCTTTTTTGCTTCCAAGAGTTTCTATTTTATTCTCACCTCAGTGTCACTATCCCTTCCTATTTATTGTAGTATTGAAAGTGATATGAATTTGAAAGCACTTGATAAAGAGGGCATATACAGACAGTAACCAGCATTTCTGAAGGTAGTCTTTCCTAGAAATGCACTTAATTGTTAGACTTCCCTGGGCAGTGGGATTATGATTGCCATTCAGTCAGGAAGAAAGTCTTTGTAGTTCAGTCCTTTCACCCTTTGCACAATATGCAAAAGAACATTCTTAAAAATATTTTAAAATCATTTGACTTTTACTTTTAAGTCTTAGTTGCTTATCATAGATAAGGCATATATTATTTTACATCTATAATGTCATGTCCAAAGAAGTATTCCTATACTTCTGTACTTGATGTTCATTTCCTTTTGCATTTTAAAGTTTTTTACCTTATGTACTTAGTATTTTACCTTTATGTACTTAGTATTTTAGCACTAAGTACATAAAGTTGTATGAATTGTGTTATGGATTGTAAAAAAATATTATCCTCTTTTTCACGTGATGTTTTTACAACTCTTAGATTATACTTGGCTGTAATCCCTATTTTCTTTTTATCCTTTCCTCTTAAGCTTTCTAAATCTATTTAAGTATGTCACTTGTGGACACCTAAAATCATATCCAAGAGATTTTTTAAATGGGTGAATTTAATAAAGCATATTTACTATATAGCTGGTAATCTGTAATTTTTAAAAATGTTTTCTTGCTATTTTTTTCCTCTAAGTGTTCTTTGATATTTTTCTAATTGAACAACCCCGCCCCGGCTGTGGTGCTGGGGATTAACTCAGGACCTTGCATATGCTAAGCAAACTCCAATGCTGAGGAATATCCCTAACCCTCTAATTTTACATTTTAAATATTTCTTATGTGATTTGAAAGGAATTCATTGTTTTACATTTTGATATTAAGCTTTAAAATTCTTTATAAATTTTTTTTTACCTGAAATTTTCTAATTATTTATATCAATCATAAATAATATCTTCTATTTTCTCCCTGTTATATCTGTAGTTTTGAAACATTTCTTCCTATCATTGGTATAATTTGGGATTTTATATATTTTGAGATTACCATTTTATATTACTATATTGAAATCATATCTTTATTTGGACACAAATTCTTTTTTTTAAATTTTTTTAGTTGCCAATGGACCTTTATTTTATTTATTGATACGTGGTGCTGAGGATCGAACCCCTCACACATGCTAGGCAAGCGCTCTGCCATTGAGCCACCACCCCAGCCCTGGACACAAATATTTTTAACAACCATTTCAGTCTTTAAAACCTCTGAAAGTCTTTAATAAGCATCTAAGTAGCTGTAACATTCTTTCTCATTTATTCAGTTCTTTATCATAATGTAAGACTAATTTTCCCATAGGTGTATGGGTAAGGTCAAAGATACACATATGCTCTGGGAGCTCATAAATACTCAACCCATTATTTTTTCTTTAATGTTGCTTTTCATTCTCCGAGCATTGGAAACGCAGTACAGCATAACTGTTAACAGGGAAGTCTGTGGTGTCAACCTGTGTGTGTACAAATCCAAGCTCTTATTTTATTAGCTGTGTGTTCCTGAGCAAGTAACTTACCTTTTTGAGCCTCAGTTTTCTCATCTATAGATGGGGGATAATAAAAATACTTTTTTCAAAGATCTGTTACAAGCTAAATATTAAAAGAAGTAATGCACATACATCATTTAGAAGTATCTGACACTCAAAAAGTATTAACTGCTATTATTATTATCTCTAATATTACAATGTTCTTTCTTAAATTGACATATCACATCTTACTCAGTATTAGCATAAGCATGCCCACTTAATAAAAGATTGGATAATATTGTTATATGATACAAAAGTATTTTAAAATTGTAATTGTGAATGTTAAAATAGTCTGTTCTTCTTGAAAATTTTAAGTAGTCTTGTGTACAAACACACAGCATGGTTTTAAAAATATAGCAAAACAATGGTAACTATTCTGTTTACCTAAAGTATTACACTGTCATGTAGCTTTAATGTTAGATAACTTCTTAAACAGAAATTTCTCTCCCTGCCTCTTCCCCCCAACCCTTCGTCTCATACTGAAGATTGAACCCAGGACCTCATATATGCTACACAAATTCTCTACCATTGAGCTGCATCTCTAGCCCTTTTTATTTTATTTTGAGGGTCTTAGGTTGCCCAGACTGGCCTCAAAATTGTGCTCCTCCTCCCTCAGCCTCCAGATAGTTGGGATTTCAGGCCTGTGCCACTACACCTGGCTAGTAATTTGCAATTAAAAAATTTAAAAGTCCCTAGAAAATTATATTATGTAACATTTTTTAAGATTATACATGGATACTGTGTTTATAGATACTTTAGGAAGAGGCAGGGCCGAAGACCAGGAGAGGAAAAAAGTATCCTCCCTCCTCCTCTATAAGAAAGACTAATCCATAGTCCACAGGGAGGGTGCTGCTGCTACTTGTGTGTGACCCTAGAAGAGAGGAACTAATCCTACCTATGTGGGTATGGCCTTGTCTGCTTTTTCTTGGAGCCAAATCACAGAATGAATGCTGAGGAAAGTTTATTTAGTTCTTCGCTTCAAGCCTTCAAGCAATCCAAAATTATGCAGGGTTGGAAGAACAGTTGGTTTCATGCTGTAACCTTTTCACCTCATTTCCCTGAGCCATATAAAAAATAAGCCTTACTATGCTTTGGCTGGTGCTAATATAATGTATATGGGTGTTTGCTCCTTCCTTAACACACACTCCCTCTTCACTGCCTTTTCTTCCCTGTGTTCCTGCTTTACATTTTTTCCTGGAAAGCACCACCACTTTCTGTAGTTAATTTGCTCACCTAGTCATTCACTCATGAAATGTTTACTTTAGATATATGTCACATGCCTGGCCTCTTAAAGTTATGGATGATAGAGCATTGAACAAAACCAATCAAATTTCTTTTTGTATATTGTAAATTTTGACACTTTGCTGCCATATTGTATTGGCCTGATTTTTGCTGACTCTGTAGACATGTGGGATCAAGTATGTCTTCAGGATTGATTCTGATTTGTAAATACGAAATACTCCTTGATATAACATGTAGATTTTCTTTCAGAACATTCCCTCATCTAGTAAGTCTGAGAGATCTCCTATTCTGATTATAAAATTTGGTTCGTCTAGCATGGAATGCACTTTCCTCTCCTTTTCTGAATCCTTTCATTCAAATCTGGATATCTTTGTGAAGTCTTACCTTTATGAAACTTTCTTGATATCATATTGAGCAATATGATTCTTTTAACTTCATAGAACTGATTGCCTTGTCTGTTTTATCCAGTAGAAATATAATACAGGCCACATAATTTTAAGTATTCTAGTGGCCACATTTAGAAGGTAAAAAGAAACAGATGAAAGTAATGTAAATGATATTTTTAATCTAAAATATGAAAACTAGGGCTGGGGATGTGGCTCAAGCGGTAGCGCACTCACCTGGCGTGTGCGGGGCGCTGGGTTCGATCCTCAACACCACATAAAAATAATAAAGATATTGTGTCCTCCTAAAACTAAAAAAAATAAATAAATATTTTAAAAAATAAAATAAAATATGAAAACTACTTCAATGTGTAAACAATATAAAAATTAAATGAAATATTTTTATATTCTCTTTTTTAGTACTAAGTCTTTGAATTGAACTAGCCACATTTAAAATGCTCTGTAGTCATTTGTGGTTAGTAGTTACAGTATTGGACAATGGGGATCTAGTTATTAAAGACTAGGTTAGATACCGTGAATTTTTTTTTTCTTAAAGACAGTTCTGCGTTTTTCCCAGTTTTCTTCTTTTCCTCTCTTCCCTAAATTAGTATGCCTCATTGTTCATTTTCTTTTGATTAAATGCAAAAAAAGATTAAGCTACATTCTCTTTTTAGTAGTGTTGGCCTCTGTTGTTGTTCCTGGAATTGGACTATTTTCTGTTTTATATTCCTAGGTCTACCCCTTCAAATAAGTTTCCTTTCAATTTAAAGGAGCATCCCAGGAAATGAATCTAGTTTCCATAATTAATCACCAGAGTTTTTTCCAGCTTAAAAATTTCATAATCTGTGACTCATCTAAAGTATTAGCAATGCTGCCAAATTATTCACTTAATGTAAAATTTTACAATTTGCTGGGGCGAGGATCAGTGATATAGCACTTACCTAGCATGTCTGAGACCCTAAGTTTGATCCCCAGCATGGGGTTGGGGAGTAGGGAGTTTTAAAGTTCACTTAAAGATAATTCCCATGCTTGCTTCAGCAGCATATATTCTAAAATTAGTACAATATAGAGATTAGTATGACCCCTGTACAAGAATGACATACAAATTCATAAAGCATTTCATACTTTTATGTATAAAAAATGATCAACATTCCTAGCAGAAAGGGAAATGCAAATGAAAACTACACTGAGAATTCCTCTCATTCCACTTAGAATGGCAATCATCAAAAATACAAATAATAATAAATTCAGACTAGGATGCAGGGAAAAAGAAATACTTGTACACTGTTGGTGAGACTGCAAATTAACATAACCACTATGGAAATAAGTATTGAGATTCCTTAAAATAAGACTAGGAATGGAATCACCATGTGACTCAGCTATCCCACTCCTTCATATCTATCCAAAAGAACTAAAGTAAGCTTACTGTAGCAGTAAAGTTAGGGAATCAGACTAGTGTCTGTCAAAAGATGAATGAAGCTGGAGCGAGAAGCGAGGCAGGAGGATCATGAGTCCAAAGCCAACCTCAGCAACATCAAGGTGCAAAGCAACTCAGTGAGTCCCTCTCTCTAAATA